TCTAAGGCCATAGAATTTGATCAAAACTCTTGACCTCCTGTGACTTCAATTTTCTATCAAAAAAGCAAGAATGCCCACCTTTCAGGGTTGTTTGGAGTATAATGTAACATATAAATGCTTAACCTTAAGCAACGGGTATTAGCACACATTAGAAGGGCAGATTAGCATGGGGATTAAGGGCTTGGGTTCTGGAACTGGACCTGGATTTCGATTTCCAGTTCTACCACTTACCTAGTTCTTTAATTGTGTACTTTCCTTAACTTCCCTTTCTCCATTTCCCCATCTTTAAAATAAGGACAATAATAGTACCTACCTCAGAGGATTGCTATGACGGTAAAATAAAGGGCACAGTATAGTGTGTAGCACAAAGTAGGTGTTCATATAACTCTTAGCTCTTGCTGGAGGTAGAGCTGTTTTGGATGTGACTTCAGTTTGTCAGCAAAATTAGTTAAGTGCCTGGGACAGTAACCACTTTTTTTGTATATGTAAAACATGGGTGTAACTTGTAAGAATTTTTTGTGATAGTTGATTACTTCTAAGCTTAATGGTGCCATCTGTATAGTCATGTGTGGGAATATTTGCTACTATTAGGCATATAATGTAGTCTATATCCTCACTATGAAGTTGGAAATTAGAAAGAAATGGGTGTGGGGGGTATGATAGATACATTTTTCTCTATTTCTTCAATTTAGTTTATATATTTTTTTCTTTTTTTCTCCCCAGTAATTTCCCAGAATATCAGTAATTTCTCATGACTCTTTCCACTTCACATTGTTATTTTCCTAAAAAAAAAAAAAAAAAATTAGTAGTACTGCTGTACCAAGCCTTGGTGTCTTAGTGAATTCCATTTTGATTTTAGAGGGGAAAAAAGGCTCTATGTTTCAAATTTGTATGTATGGGTGTGGGAGGGAGTGAGAGAGGGAAGTGAATTGCTTTTATGGAAAACCTTCCTAGACTAGCGCCCTGAATGACTGGCCACATACAGCCAATGTTTTATTGTATTCTTTCATGGGTTTAGAGAAGTTGTACCTTGTGAGGTCTGCAAACCTAATGCTTTGTAAGAGTATCTTGCTTTATCTTCTTAGGTTGGTTTACTGCTTCCCGAATTCTAGAAGTAATATTCATTTTGTTCAGAGGATTTCAAGCCCATTAGAGTGTAGACATTGACACATCATAGATTCTATAGCAAAAGGAGCTTGAAAGTTGAATAAAAACATTTATTTCTTTATGGTCTTTTTCAGAAGTTGGGCACTTGAAAGAGGAAGAACTTAAAGTATAAAGTGTAGTATCTTCTTCCTGAAGGTTCTACGTGCTTTAAGTCTCCACCTGGGAACATCAAGACTTCCCCCTTGTAAGAATGTTGCATTGCAGCTAAGTCTGTGCTAAGTTCTGGTCTTAGTCTTTGCTGCACCCATTCAACTCCCTGATGTTCATTTTCTCTAATATCCTTCAGGTTATTGAGTATCTTAGCTGGATGGGTGTGGACACACGTTGAGTTAAATACTATATGGGGCACTGGTTTGTTGCCTGTTTATGTACCTGGCATTTGAAGTTTTGAACGCAATATAAAATGAGGGTAATCAGTACCCCATCAATGTTTAAAATCTGTATGGAAAAGTCATTCACACATAGCAATTTATGATCTCTAGGCACATCAGTTTAGTGACACAGTGACAGACAGAGGAACAATTTTAAGGAAGCCAAATACAGTAGGTGCCAGCTAGGAAGAGAATTAGAAAGTATAAAAATGGACAGCCCCTTCCAAGTATTGCATCCTGTACAGGTGCCGTCGTGGTAGGGCACCCTGTCTCTGAGCCCTCCCTCGATTGTGTCTCCTACTTCCTGGGCACATAGGAAATAGAAACCTTTCCCTCCTCCCTCCCTCCCCCCTTCCCTCACGCCCTCCCCCACTTCCTTTCCCCCCTCTCTTCCTTCCTTCCTTCCTTCCTTTAAAAAAAAAGGACATGTGTTATTACTCAAAAGAAGTATGGAAGGTAGTCACTTCAATTCATGGTCTTGAGCAGCTCAACAGTGTCCTCAAGGACCCAAGCTCCTTCCATCTCCTGTCACAGGTCCTCAGTGTGTTGGCTTTGTCCTCATGCTTGTTTCCTTGTTTCCCCATTGCTGCAACATGACTACTGCTGCTCCGTAAAGCCATTTGTCACACGACTCAGACAAGGTTTTACATAGCTAGTGTAGGAGTCTACTCACATGCTCTTCTTTCCTCAGATACCTGAAGGGTGAGGAGCTTAATATGGGAGGGTAGCATGGGAAAAAAAAACACAAAACGATCTTTGAAGAGACTTTGGGCATTTGTGCAAAGTAAGTGACTGTATTTTTGAATATATAAATGGAAAACACATGTATGCTAAGTGACAAGTATATGCTCCAAAGTCTTGAAATATGTGAGGATTCAGGGTATGATTTACTTCACTAAATCCCGAAAAAATATGTGAGCGCTTGACAATGTTCTAATTTTTGCTTTTACGCACGTATATGTTGAAAGTTTCCTCTAAATCAGTTCCTGTCCACTTTAATGTTTTTATTTTGGAGGCATATTTTCCCATACCCATGACCTCAGGACATTGTGGACGCTCAGTGAAACCTGCTGATGGACTGACTGTGATGTTTAAGATAAGCCTTTTAGTTACGCAGAATCTTCTCCTCTCTTCCTCTCTAGCCAGGAACCATATTCTTTGTGAACCTAAGGAATGTTGAATTTAAACCGTAACTTCTGTGGCTCTTGCCAGTCAAATCAAACAGTAGGGGAAACTGCAGTGGAGGGCAGGCAGAGGTGGTGAGTTCTTTGAAGCTAGGCCCTCGAGGTCATGGTTTCTCCACTCACCAGTCTTGCCTTGGGATCCCTTCTCAGAATCCACACACTGGAAGAGAGTAACAAATAATACACACTGGGGTCAGTGTCTTAGCTGCACTAAAACTACTCTCCGGTTCTTTATGTCGTGAGGCTTGTTCACAACGCTCTTCTGTAAGCTTAGCACACACAGGAAGAGAGCATTGACTGACAAACTACCTAGCAAAGATCAGTTAGTTCTCTACAGCTTTGTCTGGTCAGCCAAACCCAAAGCCTTTTGGACCCAAGTCTGTCTTTCTATTTTACTATGGTAAGTCATTTTCTCTTTTTAGCTCTAGCCAGGTTTTGCCCCCAGTGTAAGCTGGAATTTTCTCTCTAACCCACTTGGCCGCTGAGAAAACGTGTTGCTCCATAGGCTATGTCCATGGTTTTAGCTGAATTGAATTCTAAGCTGTTTAAGACAGTTTCCTGATTGAAGGCGTTATCTTGTCCTCAGTTTTTACAGTGCTCTCAACTCTTGACCAACTTCTCGCTTTGAACTGTTTATTCTTGGGCTTATTCCTTCTGCTGTCTGTTAGTCTTCCCTTTCTGAGCGTCTACCATTCTACTCTTGTTTTATTCAGTTTAGTTTCCTCCTCATTAGTCATTGGTCCCTGACTTGCCCATTACATGCACATTTATTTCCATCATATTGTTTGAGACCAAGAGACTGACATTTTGCCTTCCATTAATTGGTTAACATAAATATATTTTGCTGTGCAATGAGGAGGGCTGTATTTATTGTACATAAATATATAACATGGTGACTCATTCAGTAGTTTATAAAGATTTGGGTTTAACTTGGCCATTTTTTTTCAGGAGTTGGTTGTTAGCAACCCTACTAGAGTATGTGATTTGCATGTGAAACTCAGGCAAGCCAGGCATAATAGGAAGATTTTATACATAGAACTGGCTTTTTCAAAGGTGGCTTCCATTTTTAGAGACATTGAAAAAGTTATAATGGATTTATAATTTTATTCAATCATTTCTCAGTACTTTTGAGTTATTAAAACAGTCCTTGAGTAATTATTGGTTTTCCTTGATAAACATTTATGGTGTTTTTTTTAAACATATTCTTTTGTAATCTAATAAGAGTGGAAAGGGGTTAGAAGCCAAATCTGTAATGATATGCAAGAGATGACAGTACTGACAGTGAGTAAAGAAATATGGTGTCATTGCTTTTATTTCATACTCTCCAAATTACCTGTGATGAGCTTAAGCAGTCTCATTCATGAATAGAACAATTTTAATTATTCACAGTGCTTTGGTGTACTATAAAAGCAGAATTATTAACACTGTAATTTGCTCGGATAGCATTTGGTAGGAAAATATATCAGAAATAATTAATTGTTTTCAAGATATGATAAGGCAGCTGTATCTACAGGGGGCAATCAAAAAGAATAGTAGTGGGCTATTGATCGCTTTTTAGAGAAAAAAAATTCTGTTCCATTTCTAAATGTTAACAATCGTAAGAGGAAAATTCCCACTTGGGATGAATGTTTTCCAGGTTGCTTCATTGCCAGGTGTTTGACATTGCATGGAGTCTTAGATGAATAAGGCTTACGGCAGTCTTAGGGAATGCTGTCCTCAAGGGCCTCAGCTTTCTGCTATGAAAGCTTCTATTTTCAAAGTAGGCCAGTATTGGTGGGAATGTTCTGTGGTCTCTGTGCTACTTCTGGTGAAGAGCAAAGTTTCCCCCCTTGAATCTGAGAGACCTACAGAAGAGGATACCTACCTGCTAACAAAATAAATTTCAGAATGTTGCCAGTGAATGAACTGCATTTTCTACTGTTTATGGGATTTGACTATCATTTATCAATGGGAATAAACCTTGCCTCTTTTTGGTCCCTTTTAACATACCTGCATGGTACAGATATGATTTATAATCATTCTAAAGTTTAAGAAAATCCAAATCATATGATAGTTTGCTTTGAGACCATCCATATTTTCCCCTTTCCCTTTTTCTGTCTCCTTGACCTAGCAGCAGGAAGCCTTTGTTTGAGGTGTTCATCTGGAACAACTTTTCCACACTTGTTTTCATGTTCTGTTAGATTACAGGGCAGCAGGCCTACCTTTGAAGCTCCTTTCTCTTTTGTTTCTTTGGCGTGCACTCCAGTAATTAACTTTGTCCTTCTTTTATTTGTTCCAGTCAATCGCAGGCCACTCTGCTGAGCATCTTCTCCCAGGAGTACCAGGTTAGAAGTTTTCTCCTTTGTGAGGGTTGACAGGTGCCTAATTGAATGATGAATGTCCCTTTATTTCTTTGTAATTGAACTGCCAGCTCTCTGATTGGGTTGGAGGATATTCTCCTTTCCACATCGAGCACCGCCTGCGTCTCAGTGGAGGCCTGCCAAGCCTACCCATCCATCTGTCTAATAACATCTAGCCTTTGCTTATTTGGTGGACCTGTAATAAATTATGCTAAACCATTATTATTCTGACAATAATAATTTCCCTGTGTTGCGTGGTTCCATGTGCTAAATGTTTGCTGACTTGCACTGTCAGTGCCGCTTTCCATTGCTGACAGAGATGATGATAAATGACCATTGCTGGAGTGGCAGAAGGCAAGAGAGGCAGAAAATGGAGTCATTTATCATGAGATGACAGGTGTCAGTCAAGTGGCAAGTCTCTATGGAATTACTTTTTGTAGTTTTCAAATAAGTTGTTTTTAAGCAATGTTCTTCCTGGTTAAAAATGGCAATTGGATTGTAAAACTAGAGTGCGGAGGACTTAGATGGAATTGAATTGAGGGAAAATTAATACAAAGGTTGAAACAAGGAACAAGTTTTTCTTTGCCCTCTACAACCCTAAGCAAACTTAATTTAGATTCAATTACTATGACCCTGTTGGCTTTTACATATATACTGTACCTTGTGGTACAGTCAGGAGACATCCCAGCCACGCAATAGAGATTAAAATGCATAGGTTCATAGAGTAGAAGGGAAAAAAGATCTACCACCACCCAAATCCCCAAACTATTATTCGGTTTGTCCTTTATGTTAGACATTGGAATCAAGAAATGTGTCATTTTTGTTCTTGAACCTGATCTGTGACACAACATAAAAATCTTTTTTATTTTGTTTCAGAAACATATTAAGAGAACACATGCCAAACATCATACTTCGGAAGCGATTGAAAGTTATTACCAGAGGTATGACCTGCCTGCCCCACTAGAGGGTATCATAATACCTATTAATTGTAATAATAATTATGAATAAATTAGATTAATAAATTGATTTTCTATATAACATTCCAAGGCATCTTGTTTTAAGTCTCTTATTTAAGACTTCAAGTATATTTTTTTTAATTTCTCAAATACTCTGTTATATGGATTTAAAGAATATGGTGAAACCATCTTAATTTACATGTGTGTGAAATCTTTACTATGTAATAAATTGTTTCAGTATTAGAAAATCTCAGTTGGATGCTTGAAACTGTAAGCACATATCTTGGATAGATGCGTATGTTTATGCGTACGTATATCTACACGTATATGTGAAAGTTCTCAAACCAATTTTATTTCTTATTTAAATCAGCAAGTTGAAAAGTATATTAGAAAATAAGATTAAATTTTGATACAGTTGTATTTTGCATCGTCAGTATTGGGTTAGCCATTTTAGAAAGGCAAAAAAAGATATAAATCAAGTAAGGACATAAGGAGGCACATAATAATGTACAACTGTCAGATTTTAAGAGGGGTTTATGTTTTAAAAGGAAAGTCTTGAGTATTGAATCAATAACATGATGTTCAGGAGATATTTTAATTTCAGCCTAATTTATTATAGCTCCCAACCTCTTGTTCTGAAACAAAAAGAATCTTTAAAATAGCTCCTTTTTTAAAAAATTAAAAATTTTTTGGCTTTGTAATATGAGTGAATTACTTATAATGGTAAATGGTTATGGTTTGCATTAGAAATTATTGGTTGCTTTCTTAAATATTTTAAGGGCATACTGGAAAGGAAAACAGTTTGAAATATGCTCTTAAATTATTACGCTTAAGATTGACAGAGCAATCTTTCTGTGGTGAGAGTGACACCACTGATTTTAGATGAATGATTTTTATGCATGAAAATTCTATGAATTAAATGCATATGCAGATAAAATATTGGTATTATGTTTCTGTAAAGTCTTTTTTTCTTAAGAATTGAGTGTTTATTGAAGTTAGATTTTTTAAAAAGTATTCACTATGCCATAGTGGTAAAAGATATATTCTGTTTTGAGTAGAAGTGTCTGTTAAAGAAATATACATGCATACACAAACACACACACACACACACTTTTATACCTAGGAGAGTTACTCCTTAAGAAGCCTTTGTAAAGTTTGAAGTGATTTATTCAAAAGTCATAATCTCCTCAGTGAAATTAACATTTAAATTAAAGTCATCATCTAAATCATACATATAAAATTGAGAAAGGCCCATGAAGTGCTGTGAAGCCAACAACTGCTTTGGCAACCAGACTCTCCACTGAAAGACTGAAAAGTGGCTCATGTGTCAAAAAATACATTCTTATTTATAAAATTTATAGTCTTAGGCTTTCATATAAAAGTATGGTTCTATTCCAGATTTTAAGGCCCAGTTAACATCAACAAGGGAAAATAAAGCATTTCCTAGAAATTTGGAGATTTGCTAACAGGCCATGGGCTGCCCTCTAATAATCTTTTATTTCATCGTAAAAAAGCCGTTTTAATTAGATGATTTCTAAGATCTCTAAATGCTGCTTTTAAAAAATTTACTTTCATTAAAAACTAAATTTGAGGGGCTTCTCTGGTGGCGCAGTGGTTAAGAATCCACCTGCCAATGCAGTGGACATGGGTTCGAGCCCTGGTCTGGGAAGATCCCACATGCCACAGAGCAACTAAGCCCGTGCGCCACAACTACTGAGCCTGCACTCTAGAGCCTGCGAGCCACAACTACTGAGCCCACGTGCCACAACCACTGAAGCCCACATGCCTAGAGGCCGTGCTCCACAACAGGAGAAGCCACCGTAATGAGAAGCCCACACACCACAACAAAGAGTAGTCCCCGCTCGCCGCAACTAGAGAAAGTCCGCACGCAGCAGTGAAGGCCCAACGCAGCCAAAAAATAAAATAAATAAATAAATAAATTTATTTTTTTTAAAAAAAGTATGTTTGATTTCTGAGGTATGAACATACTTTATTGGATTACCTGGTTAGTTTAGGCCAAAAACAAAGATCTTTAAGTATGGTTACTCGAACAGTTGATTAGGTAATAATGAAAATATAGAAACATATTTGTATTTCTTTAAGTTTAGTTAAATGTGAGAACCTCAATTACTTTGAGGAGTCACGACATTTGAAACACAATCTTGAAGTTAGGCTGTAATGGACCGTCTAATAGGAAAGCAGTCCGACTGGTTTCTTACTTTACCACCCTGCTTCCTGACTTTTCTGCCCTGCACTTTGTGCTTGTAGACGGGCTGTGTTGTTACCTTTCAGATGATTTGACCTCACAGGTCTCTTGTTCTAAATGTGCAGGTTGAATGTCCCTGTATTCTCTGTGGTAAATTGGCCTTGAAAGGTTTTTGTTTCCCAGCTGATTAGAATAAAGGCAAAATTATATCAAACCATACTTAAGCAGTTTGACAGTCTCAACAATTTCTTCCTTTCTTTTTCTTTTATAAAAGTAATACATGCCTATTGTGAAAATTAAGTACATTTTTAATGGTATAAAAAAGAAATGAATGGATTGCCCATAATTGTGGCCCCCATAGATAACCACTGGTGTTTTTCATTCCAGTCTTTTGTCAATCCATTTTTACATAGATGAGGTCATCCTATATATGCAACTGTGAATTCTGAATTTGATACTTGGAAAAATGCATATTATTTTGAAGAGAGCGTTTTGTAAACATTTTTATTTTATTACTTCATATGAAGGTATCATAATTTACTGAATTATTCCTCTGTTGAGCATATATGTTTCCAATATTCTGATACAAATAATACTGTGATACATATTTTGGTGCATAAGTCTTTGCATTTGAATTAGTTTCTTAATATTTCTGTAGATGGAATTACTGGTGTAAACAATAAGCATTTAATGATCTTATTATATGTTGTCAAATTACCATCTAGAAAGATAGTAATGGTTACATTTCTACTAGCAATATCCGAGAATTCCTGTGTCTCTGTATTCTTGCTAGCATTGAGATGTTCTCAATTCAGAATTTGAAGTCCGTATTAAAGACCATACAATCCACAGAGTGATTCCATCATGGTTAACTGAAACTTCAAAGTATCCAAACAACAGTAGAAAATGTTTTCCTAAGCTTTTGAATTACTGAGGAAATTTCCTCAGTTCTTCATGTTGTGTGCGTATAGACACAGCTTGTTCATGTTGAAAAGAACTCTCTTTTCTTTCCCACTGTACTAATGGCATTTTAGTTCTAAACAGGAAACATACTTGGTAAAATTTATTTAGATTTATCTAGATCAGTGCACATGGGCATATATGTGCACACGCACACATACACAAACACACGCAAGTTGGTCAACTTTACAAGTTTCCTCATCAATAGCAAAGTTTAGAAATACTGTCTCTCATCTCCTCCTGTCTCTCAACACACACTGTCTGAGGGGCCAGCTTTATTAGCTTTGCAGAATCAGACCAGTTGGATTTTATTCAGATGTTCACATGGAAAAAAGGTTAGTTCAAATATGTTACTGATACCACATGATACAGATAGTTTCTAAAAATTCGAACCACTTTTTTGTTTAAATAGCACCATTTACTTTGCATTCACTGTGTCCCATCTACTATGCTAGGAACCAAGTATAAGAACCACAATACCTGTCCTCAGCTGCTCTGTTTAATGGGAAAATAGTTGCATGCATGGAGATGGATTCCAGAGATTTTCGATATAGAATCAACAAAGGTGGTATTCAGATGTAAGCTTAGTGAAGAATTTTGGTAGATTTTTGAAGTTTTACCATTATAGTTATAAAAATATTAAGATTAAATAAGTTTGCCTTATATTTAAAATCAATATATATTATTTTTAATCTTAGATGCTAATAGATCTTTCACACTCAAAAAACGTCATAAAATGGACCTTCTGGGAAGATCTTTTAAGGATGGTTTCACCCACGAGATATACATTTATTAGTCCTCCTGTGGCAAAGCTGGAGGATGACATACAGTCTATGCAAAGTAATTTCAATTTGCAAATAGGCATCAGGAAGGTAGCCCTGGTTACCTTAATGTAGTGTTCAGGATTACATTTTTATATCCCAGTTACAATTCAGATCTTTGCCAAGGACCTGCTGGATGAAGGTTCAACATTGATTTGTGTAGCCCTACCCCAAGGAGAGAGAAACAACCCATTATAACTGTGTGAATAGTCTATGCTGTAAGTTTGCACAAGATGTTTTGAGGATGGAGAGAAGGGTAGCATTAGGAATTTCTGATTATGACCTTACTGAATGCCTTCTGTAATTATCATGCTCCTTTGATTGCATATCTAAAAATTTGAGTAAACCTGATCTGTCACTTGATATGGGGGACAGTTAAAGTTCCCAGAAAGGACAAATGCAACTTCAGATTAATTTTAACTTAATTTCTTTTCCTTAGCACTTCTGAAGTGTTATAAGGTATAGGTGGGAAACAAACTGGGGAATAAATACAGTTAGAAGCAGATCTACCCTTTTCAGCATATGAGGACACCTCAGTAGACTTTGGGAGATCAGCGGTCCATTTCAGAGATTTACTGCTTACCAGCTAGGGGAGCCCAGATGGGTTTCATCAGTACTCTGGAGTTTGGTTTCTTTATATGACCAACTGGGAAGAGTAATCAAGCTCATAATTAGGAATTTCCACTGTATTAAGTATGAACATGCTTCAACTATTACATAGACTGTACAGATATAGGGGGCTAATGTTGTCGTTTGACCAACTCCTGTTGCTTTAAACTTAATAGAAGTGTTCTATCGGTCATTACCAGGATTGTGATTGATGCAGCATTTATATGAAACCATATAATTTGGACTCAGAATGATAGTTTCCGGGCACAGGCAGTGATCTGGGGTCTAGCTGTTCTCTTTCATTCTTTCCAAATTAACCCCTGAGAAGAGGTTCTGCTCTGGTCTCACAAGAGCTTTTCCCAGTCCTCAGATAGCCCAGGCACATTCCTGACATTTGCACTTACTGTTCTCTTGCTGGGAATGTTCTTCCTCTCTTGGCTGGCTGCTTTCCTTCTTGTGGGTTTCTACTTCAGTGTCACTTCCTTAGAGAGGGGCTTCCTGACCAACCCATCTAATTTATATTATATTGTAGCATATGTCATTACTTTATATATTTATTTCTCTTTTTCTTCTCTGTCTCTTCACTGTTATATGATCTCTGAGATGGCAGAAACCAAAGAAGTTTTGTTCCCTTCTGCTTCTTCAGAACCTGGAATAAGGCCTGACAACTAGTTAGCTCTCAAAAATACTTGTGGGATAAATGAATGTTAAGTAGAGAGTTGTAAAGATATACTATTATCAATATTGGCTTAAATACCCTGACCCGGAATCAGAATGCTTAATGCATGTGCGCTCTGGTTCGTTGCTCCGACTTGACGAAACTGATTGTTCCTTGAGCAGACCTATCAGTGCAATGGAAGTTCTGTAAGTTGACATGAAGGTCTTAGCTGACCTATTTCCCAGGGATCTTTCTCTAAACCACACTTGTCTTGTTTGTTTTTATTTTGTTGTTCCCTTGCTCCTGAAATGAAAGTACTTATTTCCCAGTTAGATTCCTAAACAATTTAAGAAAGGGCCAATAGATGAAAATGGATGTATTAGAATTACTTTGAAGTTATAATGATCCTGAGACTTTCCCCACCTTAAATAATTTGATTTTATTCCACTTCATTTATTGGAAATCATACATCTTTATAAGCATACCTGTGAAATTAATTCAGTTTTTGCTTCTGGCCGTTACAGGGAAGACCTCACCTGTTTACTTTGATTTTTACTATCAAACAAATGTTGTTAGTTTATTCAATCAAACAGTATACTATAGAGAAAATGTTCATACTTAATTTTATTTTCTTGCCTAAAATGGCTTTTTAAAATTATTTAATTACTCATTTATTAGAGAAAAAAATATGTATTCAGTATTACAATATAATCACCTATTATAAGCCAAGAACCATGCTAGGCATAATAAATTGAATAAAATGAAATTCTTCTACCTTCATGAGGCTTTCAGCCTTACAGTCGGGATGGGTTTGAGGTAGACAAGTAACTCAGCAGATACAGTGTTCTGGGCTAAGTGATGGAGAGATGAACAAGGTGCTCCTGGATTGCACATGAGGGATACTTAATGTTCTCCCAGGTCATGGTGGATGAAAAAGGCAACATACAATCTGAATCAGGAGTTATCCAGGTGAAGGGCTGGAGTGGGGAACAGTGACTAGAGATGAGGCTGGCTGAAGAGAGTAGGTAGGAACCAGATTATGAAGATCCTTACGAGAATGTTTAAGTGGTTATAATTTAATCTTGAGATTTAATGTGGGGCTTTTGAAGTGTTTTAAGGAGGAGAATGGTATGTTCAGGTCTTTGTTCTAAAACAAATCACTCTGGCTTCCATATCTGGGATGAATTTGGGGAGTTGTTTGTTTGTTTGTTTTGCAGGGTTAGGGGATGAGGAGAGCTGGAGGTTATGACAGAAATCCAGAGCAGATAAGATGATGGCTTGTATTACCTATTAAAGGTGTGCTGACCCACTGATGAAAAGTCTGTTCCATATTTTTCCTAATAAGGTGTCAACCAATCCTATGAACTAAAAGTAAATAAAAAAGTGATATGCTTGCATGGATGCGTTTTTCAGGAGTAAACTTATTTCCTTCCCATGAGTGGCTGTGGTATAGATAAAGCCAGGGTGATAGGGATAGTTCTTTTCAAAATCACCTCTGTGTTCACTTACATGTTAGGAGGTGAACACAAGGGAGACCTGTGTACTCAGACGTCCTTTCCCCAACTTCAGTTAGTTAGTTGACAGTGGTTTTGAGGTAAGTTGTTTTTTGTTATTCTTTTCCCTTCAGTGCTTTCCTATGACAGTAGCATACTTTAACTAGCGTTGAGCGTGGCATTTGCCCAGGAGAAACATGTACACACAGGGGATGCTGACAAGTCTATGCTGGCCTTTTCTTGTCACTGCATTACCACTTGGCTTTGTCTTGTCTAGGTATCTGAATGGAGTGGGGAAAAATGGAGATGCCCCAGTACTCCTGGAGCTAGCCAATGAGGTAAAGTTATTGTTATTATTTTATTTAAACTTACGTAAAACCTAAGGGGCCTATCTAGAGTAGCTTTGCTTAGAATTATAATTAACCTTAAAAAAAAGAAAGATTTTGAAATGCAAAGCAGATAAAACATTTTATCTTAGATGCAGTAGACATTTAAATTGCTCCCTGGTCTCTTTGTACTTTTAATAATTGGACCAAGAACTTATTAATAAATCAGTTAACATAATTAGTCTACTTCTTTTAAAGCACATGTGTAAACAGCTTCTTGGTTTCTTATTTTGTGGGAAATTTCAACCAAACAGCTCAGGACATGCTCTTCTTTAGATGTGTTGTTTTAATTTAGTGTGAGACATACCTGTGTCAAGTACAGAGATGTATGCCAAGAAAATCTATGCTGTCATAAAAGTGAAGAGAGAAATTGTGTACCTAAAGATGTAACATTTACTTGATTCATTTGTTGTTGTTGGCAAACTTTTATTATAATAAAAGATACGTGCCTTCTAGAAAAGCCTTTCTTTATATGAAGAAGCATACTCTTCTTATTAACACCAAGCATGAAGTGATTTGTTGAACTTATCTGTTAACTCTTATCTGCTTCTGTTTGGGGAAACAATAATAGTCTCACATTTAAAAAAGGAAACCCCAAAGACTTCCCATGAATGAAGAAGCTGTAAAAAGTTCATAATAGTTGCAGAGAGCATACAGAAAAAATAAAATATTTAATTCCTAAACTTTAAAATATTTATCCACTGTAATAAGAGCAATACAATATTTAGTCTGACTTGGAACTGCTTATGCAAACCTCATAGGGATGGAATGAAATGTACACTATTTTTGTGTTGCATTATAATGGAAAACATAGAAGCAAGGCAGAAAATGTGTATTTGCATTAAAGATGACTAGGTGCTGTGAGCATTAAGTGTTGCAGTAGCAGCGAGTTCTCCATGTTATATTAGCAAGGAAGGATGGCTTCTCTCACAGCTTCTGTCTGCTGTGCACCACTACAGTCAGCCAATGAGTAATTACCTATAAGTTACTAGGAGGTTTTAATAGTCTAGGCAATGTCTGCACAATCTGATGGGATAGTTAACATATAGAATGAATTTCTCTCCTCCTAGCAAAACATCTATTGATATTTTATTCTTTTTTTAAAAAAATTTCTAGAGCAAGGTGGTTTCTAAGTGTCTCCAGACTTCATTATTAGTCGATTCTATTAGCAACTTGAAGTATCTGAGCTATAACTAATTCAGAATGTAGTGATTGTCCTTTATGAGAAAGAAGAGTGTTCTTTATGAAAAAAAAAAGCGTTCTTGATACAGCATCTAGAAAGAGTGTGATACAAATGTGGTAGCCATTTTTATAGATGATATTGGTGGTGTAAGTTTTATATAGTAGCAATTTATATTCATTTGAATTTTTAATGGACATTTCTGTTGAGCTTAGCTTATTTAGCTGACCTCAACTTCCATCCTCTGGTAATATGGAAAATTTTAACCCACTGACACATTTTCTCCTATATCAATAAACCTGTTATTTACCATGAATATATAGTAGTGTTTAATCAAAGAAAAGAAATAGTTATTTAAAGATGTTTTCTCTCCTTTGGCTGCGGATTAGTACAGAGATAATAGCACCTTCTGAGAGATTGCTAATGCATTAGGGAAATTTGGGAACGACTGGTACCAGATTATGGCTTCTAAACAACCAAGCTGCCATTTTTATATGATAGTTAATACCTAAATGACATATGCTTGCATCTGGTGACAATTGATGTGATGGTGATGCTTTATGAGTCACTATATATTTAATCAGTGAAAACTATAAAAATTGATGAGAAATACATAACATTGATATATTACAGTGTGTAGCAGCTCTCTTAGATAAGAACAAATTTGATT